TGTGACGCTTAATAAGAACACACTTCACGACTGAGTAGCATTCTTCAGGTTCTATATTTCCGTGGAGTAAGTATCCAAAACAAAAGGCAAAGCGAAACAAAACTAAACCTAAAACCCTAAAACAATGAACAAATAAGTTTGTATTAATAACACAGGAGCAGGTAGCTTCACATGTGAAATAACAAATTATTTATCATCAATCAATTAATAAGATCATAGAAGAATACATAAGCCATTAAGACTTGATATAATAAACAAACTATATAAGTATATAAAAGTAACATTAAAATTAATTAGGAAATCATTTACTATAATAATGCATACAGTATTACACAGTAAAGAGTAATCATAGCTCTAAAGTAATCCATTAACACTTATAGGCAATTCACAAAGTAATATAACAATCACCAAATGAAAATAATAAATGTTCGTCAGATATATCACATTATAATTTATCTAATCGACTCACCCCTAGCAAACACCGGGCAAGTTGACTATAGTCACCAATGACCAATACGGTATGGTACTGTACGATATAACAATCTGAATAACTGCAATGGCAATAAAATATATTTGCTAACAATGCACAAAGTAAAATATTAAATGTAATGAATTCATAATTAATAGTTATCATAAAATGCAATCTCTCTATTGGCACATCATACAATGATTCACTTAACAAATTTAATTAGTTAACTCTGATAATAAGAACAATAAGACTATAAGTAATAGCAGCATTATTAATCTCATTAACACATTATTCTCTACTAATTAAAACAATCGTATTAACTCATGTAGCCAAGTCACTCGTGATTGAAATGCATTTAAACTAAAATATAATTGTTGATTTACTATTAATATAGGCGTATAACATAGGCGCTGCCATCTTGAATTGTTTGTTTATAGTATAGCGCCACCAAGAGTTAAAATATAACTATCATGTAATTAGTATGAGTCATCATCTACTTCATGGTCAACCTACAGTAGGTGGTCCAACCATGCCTATTATCTTTGTACATTATCTATAAACTACATAAAGTGCATTATACACTACATGCATCTCAAAAGTCAAACATCTGATAATTAAAATGCAAATCATTCACAAACTTATGCGAAACAGTTAATTTAAGTTCAGCATCGTATACAAAAAAATAGTTTTTGTTAAATTTTCCAAGTAGTCAGCAAAGTCTTTCACTTTAAACCTCTTAAAAATGTTACCAAGTATAAACTAATATATGGTAAACACTAACATATTTATATATAATGAACTTATCAAACTAAACAATATAAACTTAAAGCTACATACCCTTTCAGAATGACAAAACTTCAGAGATGTGATTACAGTCTTGCTCTATTGGAGTTTGCAGCAGTAATGAAAAACACTTATGAAAAACTGCCTGATTTACCAAACAAACTGCCTGTTTACCAGACACCCTTGATTGGGGGTATTAATGCACCCTCTATTAATCCCTTAACATGAGATGAGCTATTTACTTGAGGTGGTATGAAAATGGTAGTGATGAGGCATCCTCCCTCATCAGGGTAATAAACCAATTGGGCAACCTTGTGGTTAGTGGTCATTGGGCAGTTTGATGGAAAATGTAGTCTGCAAACGCAATAATATAAACAATGATATGTGGTAGAATGGAACTAATGCTAAAATAGGGATACTGCAAAAACACACTGTCACATACTCCCCTGCTTTACAGTTGTTGTCCAAAACAACTATCATGTCGAACAATTTTCTTAACTACTTAAACTACGTTACAACACAAATAATAAATAAATTAATAAATCTAGCACAATTGTGAGAAAAGGTTAAATTGGAGAAAGATTAGATACTGGGATTACATTAGTATAATCATGTATTTTGGGAGTTCGCAAGCATCCTTGCAATGAGTAGTTGGGTTTCCGATAGGTTGGTTATGACTTGAGGGGTAATTGATGACATCGACATCTTCATGTATTGCTGTTCAAGCTGTCGAAATGGGTAGATGTGTATAAGAGACAGCTAGAAGGGTTGAAAGTGGAATTTCC